ATTTTTATATTGCAGTGTATGGTGTTTTCGGATTGATTTAAACCATATATATGTAATATAAGAAAATGATAAGAAATGTCTCTCTTTTTTCTTTTTTTCTTTTAAATACTATTTATTAGTTATTATTTATTAACCAGTCGTTAGTCATCTGCAGTGTTAGTTATTACAGAACATCACGATATTTTTAGTAATTACTAAAATTAATACATGTAATTCTTTGAGCACGTTCGATTAGATAATTGAATACATTCAATTAAACTCGTTAAGTTAGAAAATTATTATGAATTAAAACCAACTAGGCGTTAATCAACAATTTTACATTAAAAAAACTTTGCGATTTAACTTTAACTTTCCAACTAAATATTTCTTAGCTTTTATAGTAAATGTATGACTTTTAGAAGGGAAGATGAGCGTTATACACAGTAATTCGACCAGATTTCGGGTGGTGATGATGATGATGATGATGATGATGATGATGATAATAATAATAATAATAATAATAATAATAATAAGAAGAAGAAGAAGAAGAATAAGAATAAGAATATTAACAAGAGTTATGTATGAGATGACAATGACAAATCAACATAATACAATTAATTTATTTTCAGTGAACAATGTTAACTATTTTTTTTTTTTTTTATTAAATATTTGTGTTACATTATGTTACAACGACGATGGCAATGTGCATCATATATATCAAATACTAGTATATGTAATAGGGTATTAACGTAGTATTTACGGTTCGATACGTGTGCGAAGAGTAAATACGAAAAAAATGAAATCAAAATATTAGAACTCTATTTCTTTAATATTTTTTTTCTTGTTTTATTTTCCTTCAATACTTACACTTTGACACGTTTTCATAATCCCGCTATTAAGTATAGTACAGTGTATATAATATAATATTATATGATATATTTTAATTTCAAGTTTATGATATATAAAATAAATACATTCAATATTGTTTTTAAAATAAAAGTCAACTCCTGTATTATAAAATTTGAAGATAGATTCGAAGAAATTTATTTATATTTTAATTACGAATTATGTATAAGAATTTTAAAATAATTATAACTTACTTAAAAATGTAAATATCAATAAAAGCCTCCAAGATTCCTTCTTAAAAAACCTCAAATTTTAATATAAATTATTTTTATTATAGAATAATTCACTCAAATATTGAAAACAAAAGAGTAAAATTTATTAATATGGACGTGAAATTTGCTATGTTTTACATTTATAAACGGGGACAATGCATGCGAGTATATAGCGTCCTTTTTAGTATAATGCGAGTGTATATTCACTTTATTCCCTTATTGTTAGCTTGACTATATTTATAATAGTGTCCATTGTATTTATTAAGTCATTGGGTATGCACGGCACAGAGCTTAGATGACATATTTTGTATACCTATTTAAATCCGTGTGTTCACTTTTACAATCACAGTATGTGATTCCTGTGTTCAAAAAACACCTATATACTTTCAGTTTATTCTTGATTTCAGCATGTTCCATTTGTTATGATGTCCAGGCAGCGGTTGCTGTTCTCCGTTAATCGTGTTATGAAGTTGTTGGTTTACTTTAAATATATTTATTTTTATGTCTATCACAGGTTTAAATGATGTTTTCAGGTGTGTTGTTAATTTAAAAAAAATCTTTTTTCGATTACGGACTACAGTCTGCTTACAGCCAGCTATTAATGAAGTAAACATTTTTCTTCATTAACCTATACATTGGTTAATTATTGGTCATTATTATGACCAAGCTCATTCTATAGATATCTAGGTGTGCTTTATCAGCAAGGACTTCCTCTATAAAAGTACAAGTGTTGGGTTTAAACATCCAGCTGCTATGTGACATGTTTAAGTTAGATTACTTTTACCTTCTTCACATGACACAATCTGTTCATTACTAGGCATGAACATTTTCCAGCTTGATATTATAAGGCAAGTCCAGTCGTATAGTAGCAGCTGCAGGAGATAAGCTTTCCGTATTGTCCTAGTTAGTTTTCTAAATAAATTATTTAATGTTGTGATTTTCATCTAACTGTTATTGGATTTATTTTAAAATATTCTGTCATGGTGATTATTATAGGTAAGTTGGTGTTTGTGTACATGATAGATTAATTTCACACCATTCCTTCAATTTTTAGCTAGTTTTTATTAATTACACATAATAAAATGTTTTGCTTAACAAATGCAATTTTTATGTTTCAAATAATCTATTAGCCTGTCATTTAAATATTAAAAAAATATTATTATTAAAATGCATTTTAACATTTTTTAAAACATATCGTAAAACTTCAGTGCTTATGATAGTATATTGAAATGTTTCACTAGATATTTTGTTGAAGAACATAAATTTATATTTTTTAAGATATTATAACTATTTATTCATGTCCCAATCACCACAATCAATTAGAATTAATACGTCAAACCATAGTAATTTGCAATTTGTACAGATGCATTACACATCATATTTCGATCACAATGCCCGAACATGACCGATGGTTCAAACACTCTACAGCCTAGATCAGATTGTATAATATACTGTACATCGTTATAATACATAACTATATTATAATTGTATTGAAATGTAATAACTATGATATAATAGTTTTTTTAGTATACACTATACAATATATGTAATATACGTATACCCGATACCCGAATTCGTGTATTTAATATTGTCATACTGTCGCACAGAACGGTGTGATATTGATATCGTCCTATTTGAATAATAAAATTAGTGTACGTATACATTCATATATTATAGGTATACATTGTTTATTATATCAGCATTGTAACATGTATTTTCGATTGTAACAAAAACTGTGAACGAAACTACCGATAACGAAATGAAAATTGTGGTCACCGAAGGCGGTCAGGGTACAATTTACCAGTATTGGATAGTATATTTTACTCTACAATGTATTTAGTACAGTGCAATAATATATATGTATATTATAAATGTGCTTGCACGAGCGTGTGCATGCTTGTGTGTGTATATGTGCCTTTAACGTAATTATAGACACGGTTCGGGTACTTAAATTACTTTAGCGACGAACTAAATACGTAATGAATTTAAAAAAAAAATGCCATAAATATTGATTAAAAATGTACCAGGGTCGTAATAGCTCACATTTTCTAAAAAAAATTAAAACACGGGTAGTACTCGTCGAGTACTTTACGTTTTAGCGTTCGATTATTGACTTTTCGTTTCTCGAAATTATATCAACATTTAATACACTCTCGATTTTATAAGTCACGTAAATTTACTTATTTTTTTAACTGCTTATATGATTTGACAAAATATTTCAATTGTGATTTTATACTCAAATTTAGTACCTAGATATAACTTTTATTATTATTTTAAGTCTCACACAATTTTAAGATAGTCAATTAATTTTTTAACGTTCAGATAAATTGCTAATAAAATGATAACCATTTATTATAGTATAAAATATAAAAGTATATGATTTTTTTTTTTATAAATTGTGAAAAAAGTAAATCCTTGAGAGAAACTTTATTTATTTCCAATCAGGGTGACAGGCTGACAAGTAGCTTGTAAAAATATATAAATTGGTTAAATAATATAAATATTCACTAACTTGTATGTTTAAAAAAAAATTACTATAGGATTTATTCTTATAAACTAAAACAGTGTAGTTGAATAGTTTATGTGTTTAAGTATATTATATACCTGATGACTGTTGTTCCACAAATACATTTTAAAATTAATATTTCTTGGGTTGTTGTTGGGAAATTTACCCACACATATCTTTTGACTTCTTCCTATATCACATTTACTAATTATTGTACGAACTATATTAATTTGATGAAGATTTTAAATTAAAATATTAATTAGTTAATAAAAAAAAAAATGCATTTCACTATAGTTAAAAATAAAAATATATTATCCTGATTGCTTGCAAAGACTGAATGTTTTAAATATTATACACTATTATAATATTAAACTGTACTCGACTGAACATTTTGAACTACCTAACAGTATACAATTTTACCAGTTTTGTTCTTTAGAGAGCAAGATGAATAATAATTGTCGTCCAAAATATATTATTATTACATTATGTAAGTTGTTAAAACTTAAGGTAATTATAATAAAGTGTGTCTAGAAACTTTGGTGTATAACCACACACTGGTTGTGTGGATTACATCTAATCTATATGATATACGAAATGATAGTTTATACGTTACGGTTTAATAATTTAAAAGGGGCTTTAATTTAATTAACAAACTACATTTAATTCGTTATTATTATTATTATTATTATTTTTGACCGTCACAAAACCGAATAAAAAATCTAGGGATTTTTAAAAATTTTAATACTACCAAACCTTAGTAAACAACTGAAGATCATGATTCATGTCAGTCCTTTTGGTCATCCATAATAATAGTTTATTTATGGAAAACAAATTTATTTACCAAACTGAATTATACTCAATTCTGTTTTTGTATGTTATTATTATTATTATTTTTTTTTTGTAAACGATTTATGTCAATTGTTCAAAACTTTTAGATTTTCTAAAATCAGAGAATCCGAAAAAAAACTTTTTCTAAACTGTAATTATTAAAATTCATACGGATTGCCCACAAAATAGTTGTAAAAAAACGCACTAGCTCCATGTATTCCATTTGAATAAAAAAAAAGGGTGTTGAAGAAATGCTCGAACGTGCACATTAAAGCTTTTCCCCGACACCGTCTATATGTAAATCGGTATTTACACTTGAAAAAGCGGAGTTGTACAAATTTCGCGAATCAAACCCGTACAAACTGCATACTAAATCGTATGGCGTCGAAAAGTGCCCTCCCAAACAACGTCCGTCGTTGAAACGGGACAGCGCGGGAGGTTCCGGGGGAGAAACGATTCGAAAACGAAATTACCTGTGAAATTATCATGTGCGGACGGACGTCCCAAACACCTCACCACCTCCGTAAATTCATTTCCGTTCGTCAACCGTCTGTTTTTTTTTTTTTCAGGTTACGGTAGCGTGACGCCGCAGACGCCGTGGGGCCGGGTGATCACGATCGTGTACGCTCTGATCGGCATACCGCTCATGTTGCTGTACCTGTCCACGATGGGCGAGACGCTGGCCAAGAACTTCCGGCGCATCTACTCGAGAATGTGTTCGCCCGGAAACCGGGACGACAGGGACGACGGCGGTGGCGGACGTGATAAACAGGGCAAGCGAGCGCCACCCAACACGGTGTCCAGCAATCACGTGGGCAGCGGCGGCGACTATTACCGTCACCGGTACGAGTTCGAAACCGTCTCGGGCGCGGCCGCCTACGCGGACGCCGCGGCCGTGAGCGTGTCGAGCGGCGGTAGCGGCGGCGGCGGTGGCGGCGGACAGAAACGCGTGCCCGTGCTGTTGTCGCTGTCCGTGGTCGCGGCGTACGTGGCGCTCGGCGCGTTCATCTACCAAAAGCTCGAGCGGTGGACTCTGCTGGAAGGCTCGTACTTCTGCTTCACGAGCCTGGGCACCATCGGGTTCGGCGAGCTGGTTCCGGGCGGCGTTGAGTCCACCAAGGACGTGTCCGTGTTCGTGTCGTCCGGCTACATACTGGTCGGCATGGCCGTGGTGGCCATGTGTTTCCAGCTGTTGCAGGACGAACTGGCCGCCATGTCGCGCAACTGCCGGTGGTGCTGCTGTTGGTGGTGGATGTGGTCGCAGCAGCAGCAGCAGCAGCATCACCAGGTGTGTACGGTATGCGCAACGCGCGGACAGCGGTAGCAGCAGCGGAATCTTCTGCATTTCGATGGCCGGT